GAAATGGGGGAGAACCCTCAAAAAGCAAACAAACCCTGCAAGACCCATCAGAAATGGGGGGGGAACCCCAAAAGCAAACAAACCCTGCAAGACTCATTGGAAATGGGGGGGGGACCAAAAAAGCAAACAAACCCTGCAAGACCCATTGGAAACGCAAAAAGAAAAAGGGGAAAAAAACAGACTGCAAGACCCATCACAGCACAGAAACATAACCCCCCAGCCCAAAACCACAGTGCAAAACCCACCCAAACAGGCAGTTTTTAAAAAGCAGAAAGCAGCACCTTACCAGGCAGTCCAAAGCCAACGCACTCTCTCTAACAGCTGGGGCGAAAGAGCTACAAAGAAGCAGCTTCCCACCTTTTTCCCTGCCTTTTTTCCGATTTTAACTCAAAGCTCCAGGCACAAGTCACAGCAAAATTTTGTGGCCGGAGCTGGTCATAACTCTTAATTGGTTGTAAGTCGGCACGTTCGTAAGTCGAGGCACCACTGTAATAGCAGAGTGGCTTTTCTGGACTCCGACTCCCATAATCCCTCAGCCACCATGGTTTGCAATGGCCATGCTGGTTTGGGGGATTGTGGGCTGCCTCAGACCAAAATTGTTCACATCTTAATACGCTCTATGATTTCTTGGGTCTTTATTCCTTCACTCTGGTTACTTCTTCATTGGTCACCCTCTTGATCCAAGAAATTCTTAGTCCTCCAATAGCATCCAAATGTGAAATGCTTGAGCCTTTAGGAATTTCAACTTCCTTTTTTTGGGTTCACAGAATGAATTAATTAAAATAATCAGTTAGTTCAAATTAATTATTAAATAATTATTATAGTTATTTTATTAATTCAGTTTCTATGCCACTTTCATCACAATGACTAGACTCAAGGTGGTTCATGAGAAAAAGAATGCACTTCTGAAATGTGCCCTTCTGTTTTTTGGTGTGTGTTTTAATGTGAGGATTCCCTATGATATATTTTAGTAAAAATTAAATCAATAAAAATTAAAAATAAATAAATTTGTTTAGCCACCTGCTGGTTGTCATGTGGCTGGTATCTTTTGGGTAGTCAGGTTGCGGGTTGAGTTTTCTTCATCATTATCATCATCTTAGAGCTGCAGAGCTGAAAGGCAGCCTATGGATCGCTGACTCCAGCCCTTGTTAAGGAGGTACACGGGGGACTCAAACTCCCAGCCTCTGGCTTTGCAACCAACTAAACCACCGAGCTATCCAGCAGTTCCAGTTTTTATGTGTTTGTGTCCATTTCATCTTTGGCAGACATTTCTGCGAGAGGGGGAAGAGAAGGACCGGATTTTGCAGAAGCTGCAGGAGCTCTGGTTGAAGAGAACAAGGCAGGGAGCAGGGGGCAAAGGTAAGAGGTGGGAGGGGTGCAGTTTGTCAAAAAGGGAGAAAGGAGTTTGGTGTGTGTGTGTTTGCGTTTGCCACACTGAGAGCCAGCCTGAGACACATGGCTGAACAGAGTGAAATAGAAGACTTGGGCTTGTCAAAGTCCAACGTATGATACTTTAACAGTGACCTGAGAGCATTAGAAAACTTTATAATGCCCCTGGGTAGTTTGAGTCTGGGGTGGTCCATCACAGCTAAAATTTTCCCCCAGTGGGTTAAAAACAGGTAGGAACCAGATAATCATGACAATCATATCAAGATTTTGGTTCTGAAGATCTGAGAAAATGAATGTGAAAGCTGAAAAATCTTGGCAAAGAGGGAAACAGAAGCAGGTAGAAACATTTGGAGCAAATTCTGCTTTCTCTGTTCTTCAGCTGAGCCATGAAGTGGATGAAGGCAGTGTGGATTGGGCGGTGCCCGAGTGAATGCCTGCCTGTTGTAGTGTGTATGAATGTTGGAATACGTTCCTGCCTTGTGCGTGCATGGGCACATTTGTATAGACACCCACCTTTCCTCCTGTACCTACCTGTCACTCTTAGCTTCACCCAGTATACAGTGGTGCCTCGCTTTACAATTGCCCCGCATTACAACAAATCCGCTTTATGACAATCTTTTTGCAATTGCGATTGCAAAACGATGGTCTAAATGGGGGAATTTCGCTTTGCGATGATTTCCGATTCTTCGCAAAACTATGATTTTTAAACAGCTGATCGGTGGTTTCAAAATGGCCGCCAGGTAACTAAAATGGCTCCCCGCTGTGTTTAGGGATGTATTCCTCGCTATACGGGCAGTGAAAATGGCTGCCGTATGGAGGATCTTCGCTGGATGGTGAGTTTTAAGCCCATTGGAACGCATTGAAAGGTTTTCAATGCTTTTCAGTGGGCTTTTTATTTTCACTTTACAATGTTTTTGCTTAACGGCGATTTTCCTGGAACAGATTATCGTCGTTAAGCAAGGCACCACTGTACTTTCTGTGACATGGACAAGGATGGGTACCAGCCACCATTACAAACAGGCTGCTACCTTCGTCATAACTATTAAGAGATACTAATAGTACAGACTTACAACTTGTACAATTTTGTTCACTGTGTGAAGGGCTGGGATATTCCAGCAGGAGACTGTGCCGGTGAGGGACTCAAAAAAAAAACCCAACCCCCTCCAAAAGCTTCTTTTGGGGAGGGAGATTTGCGAATTCCTTTGATGGGGTTGCTTTTTCCCAGTTGCAGGTTTGACTCTTCTGCCTCCCACCACCTGAACCCTCAGCTGCCTGATGAGCTCAAGAGCTGCAACGCTGAAGAGATGCTCAGCGAAACGAGTGGTACTTGATAATCAGAAATACTGTGCAGGGAATGGAAGGAGCGGCATCTTTATTTCATAACGGGAGTAGCAGAGACAAGCTGCTTCTCTTTGTTCTATTTCTGGGGAAAGGAAGGTGGAGTGGTGAATGTTCCAGATGCGAGAAAGCAAGGATCCCAATGTTTGATTAAGAACACACTGCCTAAATGAAATTTGTTTTAAAAGCACTTTAACATAGTGTTAAGTCTTTTTCTCACCACCTGAACACGGACAGTATTTAGTAGTTATTTCTTCAGTATACCCATAGGGGGCATCTACTCTAAGAAGACTCTTTTAAGAGTTAAGGAAAATGTGATTATTTAGCCCTGGTGCTAAGAAGTGTTCCTCTTGCACCTTCTGAAAATCCACCCATCCAGGTTTTTTTTTTCCTTCCCCCAAATCGGTCTCAGAAACTGCAGCCTGCCCCACACTTCAAAAACATTCAATTTTCTTTTGAAGGCTGGATTTACAGAAGTGCTGAATCTCTGTCCCATCTTTATTCCACTGAAGGGTCCATTGGCCTTCATTGAGGGCTTTCCCCTTCCTTAGGGATATAGGAAGCACAGAATCCCTAGCTGGCACATTGCTGCTAGTGAAGGAACCCAAACGGACAGAAGGGCTCCACTCTGTGGATTGACCAGAACGGTAGGATTGTGATATCCATGGGAGATGGATGCCAAGCCTCCCTGCCCCCCCAATGGATGCTGAAAAAATGCAGAAGTAGCGAAGGCTATACATTGCACGGTCTCTGGCTCTCTCTAATGGCCAATTCTGGTAAACACACACTACAAATACATATACAGTGGTGCCTCGCTTCACACTGCAAATGCATATAAATACGTATTTCTGAGTGGTTTTGTAGTTGTTTTTTGTTGGCATTTCCAGCCAGCGGATAAGTGAATCAGTGGATACTGATCCCATGGATAAGGGGTCCTACTGTACTTTCTTCTCCTGTCCTTAACAAGTTTGGGGCTTCAAGCAAAACTGGAGTGACCAGCTTGATCGAAAGGAAGCAGGGATGTTGCTACGTGGAGTTTGGGTTGCTTTAAAAGCAGCTTCAAAGCACCAAACCCTATATGCAAGATTTAGGGTAGAGCTTGCAGTTTGAGAAGTGTCAGGTAAATTCAGGCTATGCTGGTGAAGGATTTGTATGCAAAATCATGGGGGGTGCATTTTGACAGCTATCCCAGTTGTACTCACGGAAATACTGTTGTTGTTTTTTGCTATAACCACCTGATAGGGCTGGATCCACACAGCCTATAAATAAGTGACAGTTTTACGTTTACTTAAAATCAGCTTTAATATTATTAAAGCATTGTCGTGAAGTGGATTTGTCGTTATACGGGGTAATCATTAAGCAGGGCACGACTGTAAATACATATTTCTGGGTGGTTTTGTAGGGGTTTTTTTTGTTGGCATTTCCAGCCAGCGGATAAGTGAATCGGTGGATACTGATCCCATGGATAAGGAGTCCTACTGTACTTTCTTCTCCTGCCGTTAACAAGTTTGGGGCTTCAAGCAAAACTGGAGTGACCTGCTTGATCAAAAGGAAGCAGGAATGCTGCTACCTGGAGTTTGGTAAAGCAGCCCCAAAGCACCAAACCCTATATGCAAGTTTTAGGGTAGATCTTGCAGTTTGAGAAGTGCCAGGTAAATTCAGGCTACAGTATGCTGGTGAAGGATTTGTATGCAAAATCATGGGGGTGCACTTTGACAGCTATCCCAGTTGTACTCGCAGAAATACATATTGGAAGGTTACTCTTTTGGGGATTAGAACTGCTAGGTCTGTGCAGAGGGGCATCTCGTAATTCAGTGCTTTCAACCACAGCTTGCAGGAATCGGACCCGAGAGTCTATGTGGTCCTTTCTCAAGCCCTGCAAGGACTTTTCATGTTGTAGTAAATCTTCAAGGATGCCACAAGGCTGCTGTTCTTTTTTGCTATGAGCGCCTGATAGGGCTGGATCCACACACCCTATAAATGACAGCTTTACGTTTACTTAAAATCAGCTTTAATATACTTTTATCCTTCCTACAAAATAGCTTTTAATCTTTGTACAGGCAGAAAAAAACATCTATATACAGTACATTTCAGTAGGCTCCCTTGAGCAAAATTGAAAACAAATATGATCTGAGGAGTGTTGATTGCTCTTGTACCACAAAGAGGAGATTCTTTTTTGTATTGTAAAGGAGAGACCGGCGCGGCCATAGAAAACAGACCTGAGCTGGAAGCTGACTGGCAGAAATACATGGTTAAAAGCGTGGGGATAAAAATGAAGTTGCTCGGAGCCCAGTGGGGAGGCTGCTGTGGGCCATAAGCTGAGAGACAACCAAGAAAGCGAAGTGGGAAGACTTATGTGTCAGTCAGGATCCAAGGCGCTTAGGAAGAATGGTGGTCACTCCTCAAGGCAGAGTGTTGTGTGTTCAAGCCCATTTGTTTCCAAGAGGTTTAAGAGCACAGTTCTTCACTGTGACGTTGGCAAATACCATCGCGAAACTGAGTCAGCTGACAAGGTATTCTGAAAGAAGTCAGGAGGTGACACAGTTGGACTGGAAATATTAAAAGGTGGCTGGGACGTAAGTTGTAGCAAAAGAGCTTGGCCACGTTTAGGCTGTTAAATGCGGAAGACAAGACCTTTAAGAGGGAGGAATGGAACAGGAGAGGAGTTTGGCATTAGCCCTCTGAAAAGGGTTGAAAGCAAAAAAATAATAATAACAATCTAGAAGTCATTATCCAGGTAGAATGAAGCAACCAGGAAGCAGACTGAAGGCACTAGAGAACCTTTCCATGTGGATCTGGAAGTCGTAACCAACGGGACAAGAGGCCAAACATCATCGTCAACCATACCCGTTATCCTAATCAGTTTTCTTTGAGGGGAAAGTCCCACCAGTATAATAAGGCTGGATTATGCTGCTTGCTGCTATCACACAAGCACAAGGAGGGGCTTCCCTTTTGGCAGTCGTTGTCTACACAACCACAACACTTGGACAAGGTTTCTCGGATCAGATGCACAGCTGGATTTATGCAGGTGCAGAGTTTTCTTCGGTCTTTCAACAACAACAAAAAAAGCCAAGAAAGTGCAATAACAGTGTGCTTACCACACAGTTGGGCAGCTAGACCAGATGCCCTTTGTCTGAGGTAAACTTCAAAAGGCACTCACAAATGGTTCCCCAAATTACTTGAGTTGATTCAGAGAAATGACGTAGGCCCGCAGAAAGAAGCCTGCTGTTGACTGAGAAGTTGCACAGCGCTGGAGAAAATTAGATAGCCAGCCAGCCATGCCATTTTTTTTTTGGCTTTTGCCTACAAATTCAGTCATTTTTGTTCAGGAAGACCGTTGGCAGGAACCCAGTGCAAATCAAGCAGAGAGTGGTTTCCCGGGCTGAAAGACCGAAGTCAAAAGGGAGTGGTGTGGTCCATGACAAGCAAGAGGCTTGGGAGACAACATCATCTTGAAAAGATGCTGCTGCGCGAGGCACAGAAGTGAAGGAACTGATCAGCGATCTTTTCCGGGGGAACACCACAGTTGGCCACAGAAGCCTTCAGAAAACAACATGGTTAAGCAAGGGATTTGTTCTGCCGCTGTCTAAAAACAGGCTGAAAAGCAACATGGTTAGTCAAAGAAAGGGCCATGTGTGTTGGCTGTATTCAGAATATGAGGAAAAAACGAAAGAGTCCTCTTGTGCAGGGCCCAGAAATTCCAAACCAAACCAAAAAGTCTACACAAGATGAGGTGGAATAGAAGGAGGAGAATGCACGTTCAGCTGCACGCGATATGGGCCAAGAGCCTCACATCCAGTCATAGCTGAGAGGAAGAACTACAGCAAGAAATGAGGAAGACCTCAATCCTGTGAGCTGGTAATTTGTAGACGAGGAACCCTCCACCTTCAGAAGCATCACCACTACTTGTCCTTGGGCTTCTTGTTCTTCTTGTTGAGGATCTCCATGAGGCTTTTGGACATGTAATATGGCTTCTCCAGGGAGCCATCATTCCTCTCCAGATCTTCCACTGTAGGGAGAAAGGTGGGGAGAGAGCCTTGCTTTAGATTTGTCCGTGTAAACCTCAAGTGAAATGAGAGGAAGGGTGTGATCCTAACTAGGATGGACGAACTTGACAATAAGCCACCTGACACTGTGCTGAATCCAGCACTACTCCCAGGCTATGGATGATGGAAATTCCTCAACCCTAACCCTAGACTTTGTACCACCATAATGGCCAAGGGGAGTTTGAACCTGCCATAATTCAGCTCCTCCCTGTCGGCTGATCTCAGCGAGCACAAAAGTTGTTGTGAACACGGGACAACCCTAACCCCAGACTAACTTTGTACCACCATAATGGCCAAGGGGAGTTTGGACCTGAAATAATTCAGTTCCTCCCTGTTGGCTGATCTCAGCAAGCACAGCAGTTGTTGTGAACAGATTCAGCAGTGCCAGCGATTCTGAGAACAGCCAGTACAAGCGGGTTGTGTTCACACCACCTGAGGGACAAGGAGAGATACTTACAGAAACACAGGAATAGCGTGTCGACGCACATATTGTAGACGCTGAAGAATCCTTGGGCTATGAGGTAGGCACCGACCACCACGGTCTGAAGGTAGAGAGGAGAAAAGGCGGAGCAGAACTTCAAAAAAGAGAAAATGCTAGGATGGCATACATTTTAGACATTGTTCCTATCCACAGTTTTTGTAAGGCACAAACCGGGACACAACTGGTATTCTTTGACCTGTTCTGGAAACATGTATGAAACTGTCAGGGTGCTTTTTATACCATATCAGACCACCAAACCTTACCACAAATGGGAGAGGGGAAAAAAATTAATCGTGCTTTTTTTCCTGAATTGGGAATTTTTTTAAAAATCCGAAAATCTTTCTAGCTAGAATATGAAAACATTTGTGAATGTTGGTAAACTCTTCAAATGTGGCTGAAATTCTCCCTCAGTGCTGCACCAGTTAAAGGAGAAAAAAGCATGGAGAAGGGTCGGCTTTTTCTGACTGCTGTGTGGGTGTTAAAGACAAAGAGCCTCTCACGAAAAAAGCAGCAGCAACCCTAATTCAGTACTCATTTTATAATAATATTTTTTATCTCACCTTTCTCCTTAAACTTCAGCACTCATTTTATAAAAAAAAATTTATCTCACCTTTCTCCTTAAAAGGACAAACTAACATGGCTGACGGATTCAAATCTAGGCTTTGAAGAGTGAAGTACTCATTGTGTTTGAACAGACAAATCTGTTTTGGCTTCTCATGCATTCATTTTTTTTAAAAAAAATCTCAGATGATTGATTGACTGAATATTAAGAGATTTGTAAATGCTGGTGAAGCCTTATAAAAAGGAATGGAGCTAAAACTATCACTCATTTCTAGCCCATACAAAACCTATATTTTATCATGGAGCTTCTATCTTGTGACCGTCGGCATTATTTCCCCAACGTAGGCCTTGCAATCTCCTGCTGGTAACTAACTTCCTTTGTTGGGTCCTGTATCCTTTCTTATTCAATTTAAAACCAAAACATCTTTTAGCTGCCATATTGGATTGGACCTAGTGATTGTTCCTGTTCCGGAAAAAAGAGGAAAAGTAAATTTTGCTCTAAACAAAAGCTACACAGAAAAAGAAGTAAGGAGTCTTGCTTAAGTTACATACTGAAATGATAGAAGTCCCAGTTAAGTTACATACCAGAATGGGTAGCCAATAGTAGTTCAGGGCGGGCGACTGGAACCGGGGGTCCTTGATGGGGATTCGCCCCGTGAAAAAGAAGAACGCCAGGACACCCACTCCACCGACCACCAGAAGCTTCCCGAAAAATAGGAGCAGGTCTGTTATTTTGTCCAGTACGACAACTCTGGAGGGAGAAGAAAAGGAAAAGAGAATCGAGAATGTCTTCTCACTGAAAAATACAGCCCTACTTGGCCTTTCCACGCCCTCCGTTCCCCCCCCCCCAGTACAACTCTTGGAGGGAGAAGAAAAGGAAAAAAAGAGAATTGAGAATGTCTTCTTACTGAAAAATACAGCCCTGCTTGGCCTTTCCGCCCCCCCGTCCCCCCCACCAAATGGCTCCCAGCTTGGTTACCTGACAATGTTACGCATCAGCAACTTGAAGGCATTTTTGGCTGAGACGCAGAAATTCTTTCCATAAATAGCAATCTGAGGTAAAAAGAATTTCCGAAGGTAAGATGATCATGTTAAATCTTCCAAAAACCACTCTCCTGCCATCCCCATCACCACCAACCCCCCATTATGTTTCTCCCCAGTTTCTACTTGCTCATAACAAAGATGGTCCTACCCTTGGGCAGACTGTAGCAACTGACCAGGCAGGAAGCTTAATGACAGCCTAGTGGGGAGAGCCAACCTGGCTTTCCTACATACAAATGAACCACACAGAATTACTTTCTTGGCCTATAATACCCTAGCAGAAATTCTATAGATAAAACATGGGCAGGTACGGCCAGTGGCCCTTTCCGTCCCCCTCTTCTCAAGCTCCGCCCATCAACTACAAACCATTGTTGGCGCTCAACCTTCCAAGAACCCCAGATCAACTCCCCTACATTATATGCCCCTTTGAATGCTTTCTGGGCTTTCCCCCCGAATTTATCCTGTGGTAGCGACTGGGTCACCTCTCCAGCCCACCAGCAACGCTCACCATAATATAGGCGTTTCTGTTGAGGAACTTGATAAACTTCTCCAGACACCAGAAGCAACATTTCAGACAACAAAATATACACCGGGCAACTGGATTGTGGGAATCTGCGAAAAACCACACACAAAGATTAGATCGAGGTCTCTCTCAGTGCCTGAATAATGCTGCTCTTGGACATTTTGGCACAATACAGTATTAAGCTGTGGGCTGCAGCTGGTTTTAGGCAGCTTATCCTGAAGTTTGTCATTTTTGCAGGTTTTTAAGGGAAGGCAAGTGGCCTGACTAGCTCGGGGATTCTGGGAATTGTAGTAAAGATTTGGTGTTTTCCTATGCTCTGGTCCAGGTTAAAGGTCATCATCCTAACTTGGTCACACATGCCACTTGAGGGGTAGGCATGGGGAAGAAGAGCTCACCCCATATCAGAATATCCTGTACCCATCATCTTGATAGCTACACCTGAACATGGCTGAGGATCATACCTACACTAACTTGTAAAAGGTCAAAAGCCTTCAAAAACCTTTCTAGAACATTTGTCTTAATGTTTGACCATGATGGTGGACATGAATGTTCCACTTTTCACCTGGCTTTTTCACGACTTGCCTTTTAACTTGTGGTCCAGATATTCCAGGATCATGCGGATGACTTGAACGATGGTGAGGATGAGGGCACCAAAAGCAAGAGACCCAACGTGGTATCTGAGGAGAAACCAGAGACCCAGTTATAGAGGATTCTCCACAAAATATTCAGAATTGAGGTTGGGGGTTGGAGACAGCTGAATCTAGTCTGAAGTCTCACGGGACTCTAAAATAACTACAGTGGTGCCCCTCATGACGACGACCCCGCAGAACGACGAAACCACAGAACAATGACTTTTTGCGATTGCTATAGCAATTCGCAAAACAGTCATTTCAATGGGGGATTTTCACTGGATGTCGATTAGGTCCATGCTTCGCGAACTGTTTGTTCGCAAGACGACGATTTTTTCGGCTTTGCAAAATGGCTACCCTGTGTTTTCCGGACCCATGCTTCACAGAGCAGCCATTTTAACAGCTGATGGACGCTCGGAAAATGGCTTCCCTTATGGACGATCTTCGCTGGACGACGAGGTAATTTTCCCATTGGAACGCATTAAATGGGTTTCAATGCGTTCCAGTGGGGAATTGTTTTTCGCATGATGACGATTTTGCTTAACAGCGATTTCAGGGGAACGGATTATCATCGTCATGCGGGGCACCACTGTAAACCCTTCTTGGATTACAACTCCCAGAAGTATTCACCGGTAGCTGTACTGGCAACGGCTTCTGGGAGTTGCAGTCCAAGAACACCTGGGGACCCAAGATTGGGAATCACTGTTTTAAAGCAAAGGATACCCTTCAAATGTGAGAATCCAGCTCCCCTCTGTCCTGGCCAGCAAAGCCAATTATGGGGAATGCTGGGACCTGTTCAGTGAAGGCTACACATTACACATCCCTATTTTAGAGCATCGGTCACAGCCATCTGACCATAATTTGTGCATTCAGCCACACATAGAGTGGTTTCTAACTCCTAGGTAATGTAAATAAGCAGCCCCTGCTCTTCCTGTTGACAACACGCACAGCTGTGGATGTGCGTCTGACCCTACAGAGCGAATGTCGCTGTTTCCAGAGGATGCCTGATGTTGGAAGCCCACCCCACATCACAGAACATGTGGGGATTCCCCACAGGTTGCCCACCTTAGGGTCCGGAGAAAGGCACTGAAGACGGCACAGGTTGGGATATCTTGGGGCTTCCTGAAGGCCCAATAGTAAGAGGCAAAAGCCCCTGCCAGCACACACTGGCCCAGGGCAATGACGAAGTTGATGCACCAGAGGAAGCCCACGATGTTGTAGATCTGCAGGTTGAAGAGGTTGCGCTGGAACAGCCCTTGGTCGTTGTACTTGAAAAAGATGCATTCCACTGTGCAAGATGGGTAGGAGGAGGCATTGAATTCCTGGAGGGGGGGGAACAGAAGCATCAAGAAACAAAACAACCAGGGAAATAACCTCAGAAAGGGGCAGGCCGGCCAGCCTGTTTCAGAGATGATTCAACGGCATGACAGGATCCGTTGCTTCCATCATGCCAGGAGGGTAAAACAGACTTTAGGATTCAAATCCCTTTTAGGCCGGCCTCTTTTTCTCTCCAGCTCATTACCCTCCCTTTCATACAATTAAAAGGATGGTGACGGTGCCCTGTGGCGCAGGGATTAAACTGCGGTACTGCAGTCCAGACTCTGCTCATGACCTGAGTTTCATCATGACAGGCTCAGGTAGCCGACTCGAGGTTGACTCAGTCTTCCAGCCTTCTGAGATCAGTAAATTGAGTACCCACTTGCTGGGAGGGGGCAATGTATAGTCTTACATAACTAAATGACCCCCCTGACTTTAAGAGCTATGGGGCAGTATATAAGCAGCATACTTTGCATTGATGAAAGGCAGCTCTGGCGTTCCTCTCTCCTCACATGAGCTTTCCCCACATTTTCTCTCAACTTAACTTAAACCCTGCCACCCCCTACAGACCAAACTCAACAGGACAGATCGCTCGCCCTTGAGCTGAACTCTGTTCAAAGCCCTTTCCTTCAAGCAGGGATGTGTTTTGGTCCAGCTGGCCACTCACCAGAGGGTTGCAGCTCTCGTTGCCCGAGATCCCTTCACAGCCAGGAAGACTCTGGTTTGTGGGGATGACCCGATAAAGGGGCTGTCCAGAAGTGGCAAGGTATCTGAAGGTGGGGAAGTCGTCAAGGAATATAGGACTATTACCCCTACTATGAGGAAGAGCTTTTTTTTACCTTTCATATTCTCTATTGTTTTAAGCATGGAAACATTCTGTGTCCAGATGGGCATTCGGTGAAGAGACCAGCCTAGAGATGGGCATGAAACAAACCATGTACCCAAAAAAATTCCAACAAACTGGGTTTGTTTCATGAC